TATATATATATATATATATATATATATATATATATATGCAGTGATGTGCCTAAAAGTCATGAGATGGATGCTTAGTATTGTGTAATTCTCATTCTAGCCTGGTGAAGTGGCTTTGATTCCACAAGTAGTTAGAAGACCTCTGGAGAGATGTTGAGCTGTGCTGTCTTGATAGCTGTCCTTAGTTTCCCAATGTTTGTCAGTGCAGGATCTTGCATGTAAATAGATTTCTTCAGCCTGTCCTATAAATGCTTGATTGGGCTCATGCCAGGTGGATATAGTAGCCATGTAATTAATTTAGAAGTCACCAGAAAGCTCTTCAAAATAAACAAACCAATTCTGGGCTCAATGTCATCAGGCTCAAGTTGGGCCTGATGACATGGTTTATTATACTATTGATATAACCCATTGTTATTGCACTACATAGTATCCAAAAATGGATGCAAATGGTTGACAAACTGTGCATTGTAGTGTTCAATAGTCAATGATATGTTTAGGTGAACCAGCAGACTCAACCCATGCCACAGGAAAACCAACCCTAACCCAGAACTACCACCAATCTTTATGGTTTGACAACTGGGGTCCTAGAATGCTTGCATCACAACATCAGTTTAAAACAGCTAAAGCCATGGCTCATCTGACCATGCCACATCATTCACAGTCTAATTAGTGATGTCATAACTCAGGTGGTGCAATGTTTCCAGTGTCATTATGTTAACAAGAATATCAATGTAAATCATCTTCCTCTATGGAAGCTAAAGAATGCTGGATATTTATCTGGTACCTTCTGTATTGAGTCTGAACATGATTTGGGTTATTTTGCTTGTCATTTATCACATACAATTCTTTCCAAACACCTCTGGTCACAATCATTAAAGACATGTGGTTGACCAATGTAATGTCCACTGTGAATGACGTCTTCCATCAGTTATTTCTGGCACATGCATGAAACTGTGTATTGAAAGATATCAAAAGTCCCCTTGATTTCAGAAATAGTTACCATCTGATACCCACTGTCATGTATTGTTTGAAGATGCATCTTTTTGCCATGAGCAGCCTACCCTGTATGATTCTGGCTTATCATTGGTGGGATGTAAGTTCTACTTGAATGGCTTCTTCTTATGTACTGTTGTTTTGTAGAACCAACTCCCAAGATGATGCTACCTAATCACTACAATCTTAACCTGTTCAAGTCTAAGGTTAACTGGTATCTTCCACATATATCCCCATAAACTGTGCCTCTTACTCTGTAACCTTCTACTTTGAGTGGCTCTTGAGCTTTTTATAGAGCAAAAATTATAGTAAATAAAAGAAGATGCTTCACAACTTCTGTTTTTTTTATGTTATGGGTTCATAAACTTGCATTATGATGTAATAAAAAATACCAAAGTGAGGTAATGATGACTGACATGATAGCAGCTGATACTACTACTGTATTAAAGAACCAATGAAATCAAACTTGACCATTGAAAATTATATATATATATAATTTATTTTTATGGTCAAGGTTAATTTTATTAGTGTTGCAAGTGTTGACAAAAAATTAAACAATTTTGATCATAATTATAATATTAAAAAGAATAGACACTAATAGCAACTAATAAAAATTCAGAAAATATTTCTTTGTTATTCTTGGTATTGCCTTATCTGATTTATGTCCAAAAAATTGTTATTTCATCTGAAGGACTATTTGAATGTTAATGACCCTTCTCTAAACTATGGAAAATACCAAAATATTTGTAGCTTCCAAGAATATTTATATCTTATCTAGGAATATGAACCAGTTATTCCTATTTAGCCGACTGCTTTTTTTTTTTTGTATACTGGTTCTTTGTATATCTCTTTTGAATATTTTTTACAGGTAGCATATATTGAAATACCTTTTTAATATTCAAAATTTTATATAACCTACAAAAATTTTCAATCACCCACTATTTTCTGTTGAGTTGCTCATTTCCTACTTAACAATTGAAATCATCTAATGGTGGGCAATATCATGATATATAGTTTAAATAAGCAAATGACAGTACAATGAACGTTATTCTCAGGTCAGTTTATCAGATGCTGCTGATGATGATCTTATCCTCATAATAAGGAGACATTCTGCATCACGTGTATTGACTCAATATAAGGAATTGATTATTGAGATCAGAGGGAGAGAGAATGTAGCATCATGAATAAAGAAGGGTAAAAGCTAACCTTTTTTTTTTTTGAGCAACTGAAAGAAATTGAGGCAAAAAAGAAAGCTGCAGAAGACAAGAACATGAAAGCTTAGAAAACATTTTTAATATTTTTTAAAAATTTACTTCACGATGATGCATTTTCCCAATTATTATATTATTACTACATTTTTCTATCATATTATTGTTGCTTTCTGACAACACGAATTTGATGCACACTTCATTATTAATATTATTTTATTACATCTTTTTCTTTATCTTAGTTCCATTAATTTTTCGCATAATAATCTGGATCAATATTTGATTATTTTTATTTATCCCTGTAGACATCTTGTGGAATGTACAGCTACAACTATTATTTCCAGTTATTTTGTCCAACATCTGTATCTTGTGAAACTGATGTTGCTGTGGTTTTAATAGCAAGGGAATTTTTATGGAGACAAGGCACTGATGAATACCCAAGAAGGTTTGCCATACAATGCCATAGGTGCTCCAAGTGGTCTTCTAGAAAAGAAGTGGATTCAGGAAAGGGTATTGGTTCAAAATGAATGCAAACAGGCTCAGCCAAAAATTCAACTTAATTCTATTTGCCATACTGTTAACTGATAGGTCATCTGTACTTCTTCGGTTAATATATTCCTCATTTTTATAATTATTTTTTTTACTAGATTTTGTACATCTTATTCATGTTACTTTTTATCCAGGGTTGATAAACTTTTGAGCTATGAAGTAAACAGCATGAAAGTGAAATACAAGCAACGAGATATTTAATCAAGTGTTTTGGAGATATGACAGAGCATAGGGAAAAGAGGATTCATGATTTTTCAAAAGGTGATATTGTAAATTAAACATAAACTATTCCAATCAAAATCAAAATGAAACTTGGTTCACTGGTTTTCTTTACCATATAAGATAAGATAATAAAAATAGTAACGCATGTTGATATATGTAAAATTATATAATTTAATCTATGTCAAGATCTTGTTAATAAGAGTGCTCAGAAGACACTGAGAGCAATAATTAATATCAATAAATGAAAAAGTGCATGGTGCCTATTTAAACCAGTTATGAGTTTTAAAATGTTAATGCTCTTCAGAGTTAAGACAAAATAATCGTATTATTGACACTGCATATATTTTTATAAATGCTTGTCAAATACACTAACTAAATTTTTACAAAGTATATATATATATATATATATATATATATAGTAAAGGTAACATTGGTATATAATCCAGGTGGATCCTAGTAATATAAAATTTTAAAACTGATCCACAAAAAGAGCTCAATGTATTTATTATTACAGAGCAAATAATTAATAAACAATAAAATCCAAAATCACCTCATATGGGGAATAGCCTATTTTGGCAGATGAACATATCATTTGTCTGTCTTATCAACCCTGGCATGGATTGAGTTTGTGTAAGAAATAGAAATTTAACTGTGAAAACTAAAAAAAAACAATCAAAAAACTAATACAGAATTTATCCATTTCAATGTTTCAGTCAGACGAAAGGCACTAGTCAGAGGTCAGGGGATATATATATATATATATATATATATATATATATATATATATATATATATATATCGACAAGTTCTATCAAAACTTTTTTTATTAACTTTTTCAAATTTCCTAATTAGTTGTTTTATATAATCCATAATTTTTTTATTTTATGATTTTGGCCCAAGTACTTTTGAATATTGCTACATTTATTTTCAAGGATTTTGTTTTTGTGTGATTATATAAAAACAAAAATCTTTGAAAACAAATGTAACAGCATTTGAAAGTACTCGGGAGAAAACAAAAAAATAAAAACAAACTTTGATAAATTTACAGATTATAAAAAACAACAAATTTAGATATTTGAAAAAGTTAATAAAAAAATTAGATGGTCAGAACTTGTTGACATTATTCAACAAAACATGTTTGAAAGAATTCTTGCTACCTAAATACACTTATAGATCATAGTTCATCGACTGTTTAACAAACTTTTTTTTCTGTTGGGGTTCCACTTACATTCCTCATCTGTTGATGATGCTGGCTTAGTTGCCAGCCACCTAATCACTCAAGTTTTGAATTTAGAGTTGTCCTACTCCTATACTGGTTGTCATCCAAGGCTGTTAAATTCCTCAATTTGAGCTGCTATTTATTACTCCATCATGCCTCCACCATGCACACACACACAAACAAACACACAACACACATATATATATATATATATGTGTTATATATTTTTCCATGTTAATGTAAAAAATAAACATAGAAAGTGCTCTACCATAATGGGAGTGAAATATCCAAATGAGAGAAAGAAAATCTAAAGTAAAATTTCACTGTTCATAGTATTTACTTTTAAAAAAGTACTCAATACAAAGTAGAGTAATATGTAAAAAATAAATGTAGAAAGTGCTCTACTTTGTATTGAGCACTTTTTTTAAAAGTAAATACTATGAACAGTGGAATTTTGCACCATCTGTTCTTTCTCCCATTTGTATATATTATATATATACACACACAAAAATATCAGCCATTTTAGATACAGGGGTTTGGACAAAATAATTGAAACACTTGTTAAATTCAAAGAAAATTTATTTAATATCTCTATGATATGGCAGCCCAAACTATCACTGATCCACCTCCATGCTTCAGTGTTGGAAGAAGTTTTAGTTAAAGTTCTTAATATAATAGGTCTTTGAAATATAGGAGTGGAATTTGCACCTGTTCCAATTATTTTGTCCAACCCCTGTATCTTGTGAAACAGTTGTGTGGCCTTGGTGTAATCTGACAACCAATCAGAGTGGACCATAATACATGGCTTATGTCCATATTATGTTAAAACGCTGGTTCTCATATGATTACCAAAGTTAAGCAATATTAAGCCTGGTCAGTACCTAGATGGGTGACTGCTTGACAATACCAGGTGCTGTAAGCTTCGATATGCAGATGGTTAAGAATTTGAAATTGAAGAGCTGAATTCCAATTCCAGTCAAGTTTGTTATATTCACTTAAGCACAAATACCCTTGGGAAAGATATAAATCCATCTCTTCTCTCCTCAGCTATGGGTTAATTAGTAATATCAGTAAATCATTATTATCTCCTAAAAATTCTTATAATCTAAAACCATTTTCTGGCCTTAAATAACCTGCAAAAGGTTGATAATCTGTAAAAAAAACAAATCAAACAATTTTACAGCACATGTCTGAACAAACACTCTCCCATGGGGTCATCAGTTGGTAATGAAACAACATCAAGTGAACTTATATATTGTGTGACTATCACAATTACAGCAAAAAGAAATGGTTTTTTTATTGTTTTTAAACTTAAGCATTCATCTGTAGAACAATTTTACTTTTTTTAATTAAAAATAGTTTTGCTGATGATTCAATGATTGAAGCCCAGATAAAATGTTGGTACCAATAGTTCAAATTTGACTAAGAATTCATTAAAAATGATCTATGTTTTGGAAAGCTTTCAACAAACAGTACATCTGAAAATAATAAGATTTGAATATTAGAAATGGATTAAAGAATTTCCTGTCCAGGAAATATCCAGCCATAGTAAATATTTTCAGTGTCCATTCTTCACATCTCATGCAAGGGTTTCTTTTGGGCAAAACGTCTGTTGGAATGAAGATTTTAAACTGTGGATGAGATTAAGTAGAATGGTACAATGCAGTCATTTAAGTTTTTAATGTCATGTGTCTTCACGATGTAGCCAATCATGGCTCTCCACAGATTCTTTTTATTTATTATCTGTGAATTTCCATGATTTCTTGGGAAAGATGGTGGATAGATCGTTTCCTGTTGGTTTCTCTACAGTTTGTAATATAAAATTTTTCTTTTCTTAGACTGGATGCCCCACAAGGTTAGAGAATGCAGTCTACCCTATCATTTAACAAATGGCTAAGAAGAGAAGAAATCAATTCATGCCTTTCCTAAGGGTATTAGCATGAAATGAACGGACTAGGCTAAAAATTGAACTTTGCCCATTGATTCCATTTTCCATGCCAATAACTAATACATCATCTTAACATCCAATGCAGTTGTTACTGATTCTGGAAAAGAAAATTTACAGACTTCTTAGAAAAGTGGAAGCAATGCAGGTATAAGTGTGTGAGATCTCAATGGAACAATTTTGAAGCAGTCTAAGAGGCAATTGCTCTAGGCAGACTACTTTTTCATTAATATTAAATATCACTCAATATATACATATGTTTATATATATATATATATATATATATATATATATATACTCAACCATGTCTCCCACCATGTCTTCCTGCTTCCCTCTCTGTTAAATTACATAAACTTAATACTACCTGTCAAAAAGTGTGAACTTTTATTTTATTTTTGGAAGTGTTATCTGATGATCCAGCATCCCTTAAAAGGGCTCTGGTGAAATAAATTATTATAATGGAACCTTAAAGTGGTCTGTTTTTCTTTAAATTATTAGCTCTGGATTTACATTGAGCTCTCAGGATTTCATCCCCCTTGGGACTACCCATATGGATTACCAAGTTTTTCATAACTTAATTATATATATATATATATATATATATATATGTACAGGGTGTATTAAAAATACTTTTACTAACTTTGGGGATGGGTTCCTGACATGGTAAAATGTCTATATAAACATATGTCCAAAAGTCCATCATTGTACTTCAAAGCAGCAACTCATAACAAATGTTCAAATTGTACTCTGCTTGATTCTTCACACTACACACGCATACATCCATCAGATCATTGATTGGTTGACCTTTTCAAATACTCCTATATGCTGTCAAATGGTTTTACAGGCCCCCATGACATGTTGGTGAAGTGTTTCTGCATTGTTAATATCTGCTGCATAAACTAATTGTTTTAGGTGGCCTCACAGATAAAAATCCAAAAGATTGAGGCTGGGGGAATGTGCAGGTCATGGAACTGGTCCCCCCCCCTTGTCTTTCCATCTTTCATGATAGATGTCAGCTACTGCATTGCAAACAATGTGATTAAAATATACTGGAACCTCATCATGCATGAACCACATGTGTCTTTGTATTCACAGGTCTGGAAGTGTGTTCAAAATAAAGTCCCTGTAAACAGCTTCTGTAAGACATGTTGGCAGAAGATATGACAGTCACCTATAATTCCAGCCCAAACATTAAACATAAACTGATGCTGATGTCAAGCCTGTATTGTACAATGGGGATTCGGATCAGCCCACAAATGTTGGTTGTGTAAATTTGCTATTCCATTTCTTGCAAATGTTGCCTCATCCGTAAACAAGACAAAAGAGACAAACAACGGTTCGGCAGTTTATGCAATAATCCATTGACAAATGTTCTCCTGTGATGATTGATCATAGAGTGAAAGACCCTGCACACATTGCAAACGATATGGATACAGGAGCTGCTCTTGAAGTACCCTTTATGTGGTACTATGAGATGTACATGCTAGGACCACTTGATGTGTGCTAATACCTGGATCGTTTCTGACAACCTGGAAAATGTGTTCTTTGTGGTCAGGCATACATGTGGATCTTGGTCTTTCTCAATCCATAGTTTGTGGTGAAATGGATCCCATCTTAGCAACATGACAATAAACAGCAGCAAAGGCTGGATGACTCAGCTGCCTTTCATCTGGAAATGCAATATGAGACAACAACATTGTGGCCATATGTACAAATCATATCTGCCTGCCTACTATATGAACATCCTACCATTGTTAAACAGAACACTTCTATGTTAACTTCTACAACATACATTAAACACTGAAGACAGACTAGCCACAACTGTACACGAATAACAAATGTAACCTAGGTTACATGCTGCCTACCATAAACTTTCTTTAAACTGTTATGTTCCATGCTAATAGGAATATATACTTGAAAAACAAGATGGATATAATAAGTAAAGGTTCATTGCCAAAAAAACCAGTACAATAAGAATAAAGGTAAGAGTTATGCCCAAGGTCATCACAAGTCAATCCAGTAGTGAGTGCTACTATTGGAAGGTTGGTAGTTCTTGTGTAAGTCTGAGTCGTACTCAACAGATCCCAGCTAATCTCTGTAGACTGTTAACTTACAGATACTTATAGGTAGCTACTACCTATAGTGTAGTTACTCATGGGGGTGACATGTTATTCCATTACATCATAAACTTAACTAAAAAATGAAGGATTTGTAGGTATATGTTTATATGGATGTTTGTTCTTGTTTTGGTTTGAGGAACACACACCTAAAGTTTGTTAATATATTTTCGACACATCCTGTATAAATAGATAGATAGATAGATAGATAAGGTATTTGATTCAGTAAAACACATCAGTTTTCAATGTATTATGAGAATAGAGTATTTAAGAGAATTATGTAATTTATTCAGAATATAAATGACAACAGTCTTGCAATAAATCAACTACACAAAAACAGAAGAAAGGTAAAGACTAGAAAATGACTGAGAAAATGGGATATAATTTCCCCAAACTGTTTTGAAAGTGGCTTTAAGAAAATAAATGGGAAAGGAATATATAAACACTCTGACAACATTGATACTGATATCGCAATCATTGGCAGAGTTACAAGAAATAAACAACTAAAATGTTCAATTATCACATTTCAAAACCAGTCAGAAGAATAAAGGATGAAGAACTGGAAGAAGTTCAGGAATACATCTCTGTAGGACACGTGATAACATAAAAAAAAGTAATTAAAATTAAATAAAATGATTAGGTGGAAAGTATTTAGTAAAAATAGTGAGATAATAAAAAGAACCTTGTTAATATGCATAAATTTTAAGTTTAAAGATTAAAAAAACACTAACAAAAATGGAGATACCTATGACTAAGAGAAGAATAAAAGATGGAACAAAAAGTTGGTTGCATAGTTTTCAATAGATAGCAATTGAAGTAGGAAAAGACACACATAAGATAGAGAAATGAGATAAACAGGGTTTTTTGCAAACACAGTTGCAATTGTTATGGAAGGATTTAGGAATATCTTTGTCCAGCACTATGGTTGCTGCTACTACTAAATATTAAGACCCATGCATGCACACACACACACACATGCACACAAACAAACAAACACACACACACACACACATATATATATATATATATATATATATATATATATATATATATTTTACAGTAAGGTAACCCTGTACAAGATTCTAGACTTGAACGGTTAAGATATTGTAGTGATAAGGGAAACATCCTCTTGGGAGTCAGTTCCACACACCAGTGGTTTGTGGGAAGAAGCTGTTTGAGTAGAACTTACTTCCCACCAACGAAATATGGAGGGAATATGGGTGGGGTTTGCTACAATGTAAGTGGTATGGTGAGTTCTCGCCATGAAGGTTAGACTTGGTGGAACCAAGGAATGTAGTTTGTCCAAACACTTTCCATGGAAATAGTGATAGAGCAGTGAGAGACTCACCATATACTGTCTTTGAGAGAGGGGTTGAAAGGAGGAAAATAATTCTTCTCCAACAAGAACTTGGACAGGCTTTTGAACTCTATCAAGATTGGAAAGGGAGGACTGGGTAGCTCCTGCCCAAATATGATAATAGTACTCCATTTTAAGCCTGATTTGGTTTTTATAAAGATAGAGGATAGCATAAGGCTCAAGTCATTTTACCTGCATTTTTAGGGATGGATCAGATATAAGAGTTCCACTTGAGGTCGGCTGTGAGTTTGAGGACCAATATTCTCTCAAGAAACAGTGCCTTCTCAAGGGGGCATGCATCCATCAGGAATGGCAGTGATTGGTGGTGAGGTGATGGTATATATATATATATATATATATATTCAACAAAACTAATAATGACTATGAAACAGCCCTAAAAGATAGTGGGTTCCCAGCAACACTCACATACACACCACAAAAAAAACAAGAGGAAGAGAAACATCATATGGCTCAACCCACTGTACAACAAAAATGTAAAAA